GGGGCGAGTTTAAGCTGAAGTGTGCGGTTGTGTGTTTTTTTATCGACCTTTCTATAAATATGGCATTCTCCTGCGCGCATGCGTGTGGGATTTTTATTTGAAAATAATTGTTTTTTTTTTTAAATGTCCATTTTGTGCTCCGAGGCATACCTCTCCAGTATTCAATGTACAATTACAGCGTTATAAAATTACAGCATTTAACAATCACAGTGCAATGTTTTGACCACTTAAGTGACCTGCCGAGAAAAAAGCACAAATTGGACAATATACAAACGGCTTTGTATATTGTCATTACACGGAACACCTGAATAGGCGCTTTGGCAAATGCAGTCTGTTCTTCTGTACGATTCATTGGCAATTCCTGGGTAAATGTGAGCAAACGTGCCATGGCGCGATGGACATTGCTGCTGGGATCTGAAATCTGTAGCTAATGCGGTTATTCTAGTGTGCGCGCACGCACGCGTACTGCATTGCATTTCTAGATGTACAATGTGACTTAACACTTAAAAGGCTGCCGAGTGAAAAACAAGTCTAAGGATTTTTAACAAGAAAAAAACATGATCGGACTGGCACACGTTTAGGAGGAAGCTAGGGGGAAAACATGAACTGGGGTGCGTCATGAATATTCTACAAACATGCCCAAACGTTTAAGGGTTAAGACAAATACACATGACAAAGCGTCATTTGCTGCTGTTACCTTCGTCAAATTTGAGTGTACAACTTTTAAAACATCGCAGAATTTTTTAATGTATGAAATCCCTATGAGAGCCCTTCCTTACGTTGCAAATAAAGCGCTGCAGACGACGACATTTCCACAGAATATCCTGATATTGTGTGACCGAGCAAGCTGCGTGTTGTAGTATGTTTTTTTTAATGCTGTATTTAAAATTTGTAATGAGATGGAGGCGTTTTGTGATAAAGCACCGGTAAAGGGCACATTTAGCATTTGATGCATGCCCAAAAGTGCACGGGAAATGACGCCGGTGTGTGCCAAATACCACAAGTGGAGGGGGAATGTAATCAAATCAGGCCAGTTGAGCAGGTACTGCTTCTCATGGCTGTGTGTGGGATGAATACATTGTCTTGCCCTATTCTATATGTTTTGAGGCTTTTCAAATCGTGCAAAGCGGCTCTTAAGACAAAATATAAGAAGTTTGCTTTGGGCTGAGGACTTTGATTATGTTGGTACAAGGTGCAGCAGCTGAGCTTACCTCCATCGCCTCCTAAGTTGCATCTCCTTGTGGGTTTCCAGTCTCAAAAGGCAATGTGCAACAACAAAGACAAGACCCCCTCTTTCTGGTCCGTTGGGCCTGTGGCACACATTTCCCGGCTGCACACCAGAAGGTAGATATAGCCCAGCACTGTGCCCTGCTGCTGCCTTTGTTTCCGCGGCATTGAGGTTGGCACTTCTTTTAAGATTAGTCAACTGAGGAGGTCGATGCCAAGTACAAAACCGCCTTTCGTTTAGAAAAGTCAAGCGCATTAAGTCTGCGGCTCGGCAACATTGAGCTACGTGCCGATATATTTGTAGGAAATACGCAGTGCTGTCCTCCCTCTAGTATAAATGTGGATGAACAGACTGTTCACGTCCTGGGTGTAGTTTTTACTCACAATAGGCAAATCATTATTCTGGACAAATATCGTCGTACATTGTTATGTTGAGCAGAGAAATTGGAATAAATTTCTCCTAATTTGACAAACATTGTGGGTCATGTAAGGCTTCACTTGGAAGACTGCAATCTGGGTGGTTGCTGGTAAATATTGCTCTCCACGAGACCACCCAACCATTGGGCTAACACACGGCACATTTTTTCCCCGCGGAGGGATTTTGCAAGTAGTGCTTTTGTCGTGGGAGGGGCAAATGTAGGCTGCCTTTGAATCTGCGCATCCTTAAATAGTGCCACCACCATAGTCGATTTTGCTTTGGTCAAATGTTCGTGCTCTCGTGTGTTTTCTGAGAGCAAAAAAATACCCCTTGTGTGTTACAGCAGCCTAGAGAATTAATAAAATAAGCAATTTTATTATTGATACAGCAGCCAATGAAATAAACATAAAATAGGCTATGTCTTCATCTGAACAGAAATTATGTTCACAATGACAGTAACTGATTTCCTAACCTCTGAATTCTCACTTTGATTAACGGTAAACGCATCTTGAAAAGGCAAAACAGCCTTGAGTAAATCGTATTAAAGCACGTTCGTGTGAATGGCCAGTAAGAAATACCAAATGTTGTCCTGTTATACAGTGCGGTTTGTGTTGTAACAGATGTGAATCGGCAGCTTGCGGAAGGAAGGACCGTGTTTACCTTTGAGCTTTACGTAAGGAATCTGCTGCTGGGAATAAAATGCTAAGGGTGCCATATGGTCACAGGGGAGGATAATGAGGCGAATGGAATCACGTGTCTTATTGTGTCGGGTGCACAGTGTCCGCAGGTATGTAATGATAAAAAAACATCCTAACAAATAACTGTGTTAATACAATTAAGTTAGTACGTAACACACCGTGATTGTGTCCATACGAGAATATTCCTTCCACTTTCCATAACGGTTCGTGTACTTCACGAAGCAGAAGCAAGCATGCATGCATGTCTCGTAGCACAATGGAGCTGTATTATTAAATCTGCCTTCACGCGGGGGTGCGTACGAAGTCTCGCGGTGCTTTATTAAAGCTGTTGCAAAGGAGGGCCGCTGTTGTGCGGTTACAACCGCACACTACCGCAACTGGAGTTAAGATTCAGCGCTGCAAGTGCACATTGGCTGGACTCGCATGTTTATATGCTTTTTTATTATTGCATTGTCTGTTTTTCTTATAATGCAGAGTTCATTTAACGTGTGCGCTTGGTACTAGATAACTGGAACAAACAAAGCATGCCGTTGCTTGCAGTTCGTGGGTTTTTTTGTCGTACTTGGTGCAAACAGCTGTCCATAGGTTTGCCTCGCCGTTGCTAGCGGAAGAGAATTTCAGCGTGGGCTGTGAGAACTGAGCATTTGGATGTTCGGGGGCGATGCGCCAGTGGCAAGGTCTGGTTCTGTTGAGGTTTTTTTACACTTGTGTTGAAAGCATGCGACGATGTATGTGATGCGTCTGGCCAGTCCACCGGTCCCTCAATGGTTCTTTTCTCATTACCGCGTGCACTGTCTGCGTAATGCAAGGCATTGCAGCCCAACCTGCCCGTCACTCCACCGCTGCCAGGAGACTTGTACGCACAGGATGGTGGGAGGGGGGGGGAGCAGATGACGGTAACAATAGTAAATGTAGGCGTGTGTGACATCTGCGCTGGCGCCATTCAATGGTGTGGGCCTCCTGACGTATGGAGATGTGGCCTTGTTTGCACAGAACGGTTTTGTGCCAAGAAAAATATCAGTCTTCACCGTACACTGAATGCAGGCCGAAGGAGGCCTTATGCCGTGCGTATGTTGACGTTCGGATTTTAAAATATCCACTCCGTTAATTTATTTTTATCTGCGTGTCGGTGCCGAGGAACAAAGATGCAGAGACCTATAATTAAAGAGAATCCTTTGGATCTGATTAATTTTTTTTTCCGGATAGGTGCGGGGGGGGGGGGTGTTTACATGCTTGGGTTTTGGCTCAATCTTGCACTAATTTTGCAATTGATGAACAAAATAGCACTCATTTATTTTTGATTGGTTGCAGATTGGTGCGTATTGTTTGCTTATATATTTATTTTAGTGATTAGCCAGGATATGGTTGGTCTGCTCCTCATAAGATACTGTCCATGATAAATGTGTGGATAGTATTATTCTTTAATTTGTATTACATTGTTACTCTGTAAAAATATCATGGGGTATACTGTGTGAAGGAAAGAAAAGCAGTGATCTCATATCATGATTCATTCAATTCATTCAATAATCTGCATGAACAAATAATCCCTTGTGATATGCTCATTAAGTGTTTTAAATGCAGCTTATTGTACAGTGGTCGGCATGGCTTAAAAATGTAACCAAGGATTTCCATGATAATCAGTCGTACCTGTCACTGAGAAAGACAGTCGAGTGAAACCCAGAAACATGGTTACCCAAATTTACATGCATTAATCCCCATTATACATTTTTAAATCATGCCAACAATAAACCACTTCTGCACACATGTATGCCTCCAAGAAGTTGCTTCTGGCATGGTCTTAAAATTATGCTACCGTCAAGAGCTGTTTCTGTAAACAAATACTCCCTTTTGGTAGTGCTATTTATGAATACAAATATGGCCAGAAATGAAACATTGGCTATCAAGCAGCATGCATTTTGTGTTTATGCCTCAAACAATTCCTAAAATAAATAATCTTGACTCCCGCGCAGGTATTATAATGTGCAATGCTGGCTATGCTTGGACATGTTATTGGTAGCACAATAGTCATCTGTTTCTGGGAGTTATTTAGATTTTGCCATGGCGACTTTAGGTTTATTTTAGAAAGGTACGAAAGCTGCTATTGTTCATTTTTCGGTTTGTCCACGATTTTTTTAGACAAACCCATGTGTCTTGCATACACTGGCAGATTATCCACGTGTTTATTGATTACAATGGGCGTTGCGATAGATTTTTAGGCTATCGTTTGAGCATTACTTATCGGTGCTGTGCTATCGGTGCGTCACGTCGCGCTACGTGCTCACATTCCTCTGGCAACCGTTTAACCCTGGAGCACAAACTAATGGGCGCGATGATTATACGCAGTGCCGGACAGTGCGCTGTGCAGGTTCACATGGTTGCGTGTCAGCCTCACAAAAATGGCCACCAGCCTTTTTCTAATCGTAGCCAATATAAGTGCTACATTTATACTTTATTTAAAAACGTTGCTTGTGCCAGTGTGTGCTAGAGACCAACTGCTCTTCAAATATGTATATTATGCAAATATGATAACTGCAAATGAAAGCGGGCAACATTATACGTTATTTTTGTAGAGGGAGATGCAACGATAGACCTGACACAACATGACGCTGCTGCTCATATAACCGATGCTTATACAAAACGTGTTGTTGCATTTTCAGGTTCTTTGAGAGAAAATGCAGTCGTTCAGCGAGCAGCTGGGTATAACCAACCCCCAACCAGGAGGATTAAGAGAGGGTTACCAAGCGACGGGCCAGTACCGTGGCTTCGAACAGCAGCAGCAGCAGCAGCAACAGCAGCAACAGCAACAACAGCAGCCACCGCCCCCTTCTGCCTCCGGGGCGGGGGACTACTACAGCAGCCAGCACCCGTACCACAGCTATCTGAACAATCCCAGTGGATATTACTACACCGGGGCCAAGCCACCGCAGGCCGCGCAGTCGGCCACGGGACTTGGTAATTACCTCCCGGCCCAAGATGGCAACTACATAGGACAGTACAACAGCGAGGGGCAGCTGCAGTGGAGGGGCCCGCGGTCGACACCGCTGCCGTATGCTCTGTATGAGCAGGACCGCTACAGCAGCCCCTTCTCCTCGCCGCACTACCAGCAGACGCAGGCACCATCGCAGCAGTCTGTGCAGGGCGTGCGGACGGTGCAGCTGCAGCACTCGGGGGGTGCCCAGCATCCCCCGCCTGCCCCGACGCCCCTCTCCCAGCACCCTCCGCCGGCGCCAACGCCTCTGTCGCAGCACCCAGCGTCAACCCCGACATCGCTGACGTCTCAGCCGCCCACCAGCCTGTCTCAACACCTCTCGCAGTCCACCATGTCACATTCGCAGCAGCAGCAGCAGCAACAGCAGCAACAGCAGCAACAGCAGCAGCAGTCACCCCACTACCCTCCGACACCCATGCACTTTTCGCAGCACTACCAGTCATCTTCACCATCCCCTTTTCAGTCTCAGCAACATTACAACCCAAAGTCGCACCCGTTCACCATGTCGCAGTACGATGCCCATTTAACTGGATTCCCTAGCGGTGGAGGTGGTGGCAGTTACAGTAATCAGGGTGGCGGGTTCGGGTACCAGCAAGGAGCAGTGGCAGCCGGCTTTGAGCAAGCGCAGGCAACACAAAAGCGGCAGTTCTCAACACCCCACAGTCAAGCTGCTGGTCAGATTAACCTATACAGCAATGCAGACATGGGGGTGAAATCTCCCTCGCAGTTTCACCACCAACCGTTCAGCCCTGCATCCACACACTCCCCAGCTCCACAGCAGCAGCAAATTAAGTCCCCTCCATACAGCTCCAACACCTCTCCCATGGTTCAGAGCCCTGAAGGGAGCCACTATCTTCAAACGCCCCTCGCCGGCAATGTGAGGGGTCCCATGACGCAGCTGCTGCACTCCCCAAACCCGTCCACCACGTTAGCAAATAGCCACTTCAAGGCTCCTGCTTTGGATGGTGGGGTGAATGCAGATGTCAGGAGTGCGACCGAGTCGAGATCGTGCATGGACGCGATGCGAATTAACTTGGATGCCGTGTCCAATTCTGACGGCAGCAAACCAGCGGGCGATGGTAGAAATGTTTCTGAGTGCGGACCTGGGCCAAGTTTGGACATAATTAGGAAAGGGACTGATAAGAGAGCTGATACCAGTGGTGGTATTAATATGACCGGAACAGGTTTGGACATCAGAACGGCTTCAGATATCGGTGCAGGAAGTCAGGAAGCGTCACCTCTTCCTGAAAGCAGGAGGATGGACCCGAGTCTAAGCAGCTTGAACGCTCTCAGTTCTCAGGTCGAGAACATTCCAAACACCGTTCAACAACTGCTGCTAACGGATCCTCTTGCAGCGCATAAGAAGGGTGGGAAACGGTCACCAAAAAAGTCGGAAACGTTGCGTGAACAGCCAGGGAGCGTGGAATCCTCGATAAAAAGCAGCAACTGCAGTAGCCCGGCCGGTTCTGAACGGATGCTGTTTGGCGAGGAGACCGATGTTCAGAAATCTTTTCACTTGGAGAACAAAGATCAGCTGCTCCAGAGTCATTTGTCGTCATCCTACATGCTGCACCGACAGCAGCCAGTACCTAGTATATCTCACGGCACAGAGTTGATCTCTCCTGTATCTCAACCCAGACTGGTTAACAAAGACTCTGGAAACTCGGTAGGAGCTCCTAAAGAACCCATTTCAGGAAACCACTTGACAAAGGGAGATGGCAAATGTCCTGGCGTTATTGTTTCAAGGGATGGCATTGACATGTCCTCAAAGGAGTACGTCATACGTAAGGAGCAAGGTGGTGCAGTTGAAAAAAGTGACACAAACTTAGTAACTGAGATGAATGAGCGGTGGCCTTTTCAGTGCGTTAGCGTTATTTCTTCGGGAATGGAGGATCCCACCAAACGGGAGGCGGACAGTCTGACGGGGGAAATAAATGTAAATAGAGAAAATGCTGTAAATATGAGTTCTAGGCCAAGTACCAGTGACTTAGTGTCCCATGTAAACGCCACCAGCACAATGGGCAAGTCCTGCCAAATGGCAATACCTGTTCAAGAAGCCAACAATACGAGTAACGCAAAAGCTTCAGATGGCCGATATCATTCACAGTGTACAGACACCCCCAATAAAGACCACCAGGGTGGGTTTCCCACAAAGTATGGGCCCCCTCAGTCATCTGACAGATGCTCGGATAGTGCAGAGAACAGTCGCATTGCTTTGGAAAGTTTTAGTAGGCTCATAGAAAAATCTGAACACGAGCAAATGTCTTCGATGAAACAGCTGATTCGTGACCTGTCCATTCCACTCCAGAGTGTCGATAGTCATGTTAATAAAAGGAATTCTGCATCTCAACAACCTGATCAGCTGTTGGGTTCCAAGGGCGAGTGTGTATCAAACCATCAATCTGAAATCCCCAGCAGAAAATCTCCGAGGTCCAATACGAGGTCTTCTGTTTTACAGTCAGCCAACATGGATAAAAATCAGTCTGCTGTTGATTTTTCCCAACACAGTAAATCTCCACAAAAACATGCCCCCGGTAGTTACTTTAGGGGTGGTAAAACATCACCTGTAAGAAGCGTTGCCCACGGAATGCCCATCACAGCTCATTCGGCACCATCCGCGGCAATGGGAAAACCCAACCCAGTGAATGCTTACGATTCCAAAAAGCCAGGAAGAAATGTTGAGGCTAAAAAACTCAAATTGGAAATTCCTGCACAAGCGGCAAGTGCCGAGGGCATAGATTATTCCATGTCTGTTACACCTGACAGAAAGAGGTCGGGACGTAGGCCAAGTGTCAAAAATTCAATTGATGGCCAGCAAAGGTCTCCTGTTCACGGTCATACAACAAAACCCTCTCCACTAGTACACAGCGATCAGAGTGTTAGCTTGTCGCCCACAAAACCATCTGCAGGCATAGACATGACGGGGAACAAGAACACTCCGCCAACATTGCGAAGGTCTGGAAGGCCACAGTTTTCACCAACAGACAAAAAAGGAACCATAGACGACGATGGAAATGAGAAGCGGATGGATGAGCAGGGCAAGAGGACCGAAGAACAACAAAGTACAGAGGCTGCAGGGAAAAGGCCTTTGCGTCGAGTTAGTTCAGGCTCCGCGGCTGAAAACATTAAAGGGCCTGGAACTGCTGGAGTGAGTGTCAGTCCTGCTACCAGCCCTCAGCTGGCAAAGAAATTGCAGGGTCCTCCCAACAGTCCCGTGTATCCAACAAGGATGAGCCCACGAAAGACATCCCCTCGTGGAAGTATGTCTGCGGAAGATGGCCCCATTCTACCCGCTTCGCCCTCTAACAGGGTTTTGAGTCAGATCAGACAAACTCCGTCGGACCACCAAATGGTAAATTCGACTACCAACTCTAAAGGAGAAATGGGAGAATCAGCAAAACCGTCTGCATCGGCTGATTACAGGCAGGGTATGAATAAACGGAGGCAGGTGTCAGATGCAACCATAGCCATTGACATGTCGAAAGGAAACTTTGCACGAAAAGAGCTTGCTTTGCGCAATGACCAGGAAGAAAATGACTCTATGAAAAGAAAGTACAAACAACCAGCTAAAGACCTTTCTCTAAAGAGACCACGTTCCGAGTCGTTAGATGCTAACGTTAACAAGCAGGCATCGGTTGTCAATGAGAGCCAGGTAAAAGCAAGTCCAAATTCTCACTGTAAACAAAGTCTGTCCAACCTTCCAACTCCGGGTAGGACAAAAATTCTTCCTCCAAGAAAGAGCAGAGGACTGAAGTTGGAAGAGATTGTCCAGAAAATCACATCGCCAAAACGATTAATTTCTTCTTCGGCCAACAATACTCCCGATGGACACACAAATAGTTCTTGTCTGGAAGCAATTCTGTCAGGAAACACTGATCAACATCGTGTTAAGGTCGAGCCGGAGGATAAATCTGACAATAAATTGGCTTTACCTGCTCCGCAGCAGAAGACTAATTTAAATGTAAGTCCAGGTAATCTGGGAGTAGTTTCTCCTGAGATAGTAACGATTACAATAGGGGACAGCGATGAAGAGATGCATGGGGGGACCAACAAGGGAATCAGAAAAGCTGCATCCTTACAGCCATTTAAATATCCAAACTCTGATGGCATTACAAAGCCAGGAATGCCTCCAGTGAAGTCACCGCCCCATGCCATGAATCGGGCAAATGCATTTCCTGCACTCCCAACGACATCTGTACCTCAAAATGCAAATTCTGCCCAAAATATAATGAAGGCATCCACCTCGTCCCCCAAGTGGTCCAGAGTTAATTTAAACAATGCTTACAACACATCTTCCACATTGTCCCCTCCTGGGCGATCTACTTTATATCGCGGACCAAGGTTTCCTGCGGCACCTAATATGCCAACATCGTCGAGTTACACTGCCAGACCCAGGACTCCTGGAATTGTTGGCAGACCGAGGGCTCCACCTGCTGTAGTGCAACCCACTGGCTCGGGTTCAGCGACGAGACCAATGGTTTCAAGTCCGACGTTCAGACACAAAACACCGAGCCTGGCTGTCCGCCTTGCAGCACCTGGTACGATGGTCAGACCAACATTGTGTTCACCAAACGTCAGGCTTCCAGGTAACTCTGTAAAAACAGCATCTAATGTCCCAGCAGTTAGGCCTTCTGCTACAGGCCCAGTCATAGTCAGAGCATCGGCCACAGGTTCAGGCGCAAAGCTTGCAGAGCAGCAGTGTAGGTCGTATGTAAAGGGTTTAGACAAGCCTGTGTGTGCTATTAAAAAAGAACCGGTATCTGAGAGTACAGCCAAGCATGATGCTTCTAATACTGGAAAGGGTGATGAGACCAGAAAGAGAAAGATGATCAATAAAGGAAAGAAATTAGGGCCAGTGGCAAAAAAGAGAAGGGGGCGACCCAAAAAGCAGTTTGGACCCAGAGTGCAGCCCAATGAGCCTGAGATAAAGCTTAAATCTTTGTCTCACAGGCCTGAAGAGAAAACCGATTCGAAAATCAAATGCTTCTCTCCGTACATCAGATTGCAAAACAAGAATAGTTTAAAGTCCATGTGTACTGTTGTGAACAGCAATGACGAGGAGTCTAAATTAGACAAACCAAAGAAATCATCTGGCACAGCGCTCACGCAAACGGTTTCTCACATCGTTCCATTGTCATCCTGCTTTGTGATGGGTCGAGTGGTAACGGACACCCAGAACAAGGGCGCGCTCGTGTGCTGCTTTTGCGGCTTCTCTGCCAACTTCAAAGAGCTCGGGGACCTCTTTGGCCCATACTACCCACAAGGCCACGCACCTGCGGCAAGGAAGCCTCAGTCGGCCCCAAGCAAGGATCGTCCGAGCGAGGATGCCGAGGTCGCGAGCGAGACGACCCGAGTTTCGGAGGAGCCCGAGGAAGCAGGACACAAGGCCAGCCCTGCCGAACCGGCAGGGTCGAGCGACCACAGAGGAACAAAGAAGCCACGGGCAGGCTCCACGGACGAGAACTGTGCGTCGTTACGCGGGAGCACGAGGGGGGCGCGCTGCCGCAAACCCAGCTGCTACTGCTGCGTGGACAGCGACGGGGCCGTGGAGAAGAGTTCGGACGGTCGCTCCAGGAAAGGGAGGAAGGAGGCGGCGGAGAAAGAGTCGCCGACTGCGGAGGCGCAGCCGCCTCCCGAGGTGCCGCTCGACAACGAGGAGTTCTGGGTCCACCAGCCGTGCGCCGTGTGGACTAGCGACGTCTTCCTCGTCGGAGGGCGGCTCTACGGACTGCTCGAAGCGGTGGAGATTGCTCGTGACGTTGTGAGTGTGGCTTTGCATTCTTGAAATCATAATCGCAATATGACCTTGTCTTTGTACAAATCATTGGCTTGTGCTCTAACCCCTTCCTCTCTCCCCCAGCAAAAAACAGGAGCTTATTCACCATGTACCATTCACCAGCATAAGCCATTGTTTAAAATCAAAGTACAGCTTTACGAAAGCACATTTGAATCTTATCCATATTAATGACATCATAAACTATCCTTATGGCTTTAAAACCAAGTCTTTTGTGATTCTGTTTCAGCGTTGATTTAAAGCCTTTCAGAATAAAGTAGCCCTCCCCATATTTTTTATTCCCGACATCGTATATATACAATGCTGATATGGCACCCAAAGAAAAAAGTACTGCTGAAATAATGCTCTATTTGCTTTAGCTTTGCCAGCATGACCTTCTGCGGAAACGCAAAATAAACACCTAAGTAAATGCGTGCCGTGGGCCTAATTCATTTGCTCCACCTACAAGGCCACCCGCAGCAATTCGTGTAGTAAATGGGGGGGGGGATCGTTTGCGAAACGTGACTGCGTCTCCGTCCTAAACTTAGCTGCCACCTTCCCCGGCACACCACGAAAACGAGGGTAGAGCAGCATCTACAGCAGGCGGTGCGCCCGCTGCAATTGTGACTTTCCGCGTCGTCGGTGTGCAGTAACTCTCTCGCATTGCACCCCACGGCACAGCTGGGACCCGTTTTATCGCACGGCGGTGTCACTTGTCTCGCCGTGGAAGAGCCGAATGAAAAATCTACGTTTCCCTGCAGATCTATGTTGCGATTATCACATTGCATAATATCACCTCCACGTGTTTGTCATGTGACTTAGATATTCCCAAGGTGGAGGAGTTGAGTGATGTGCATGTTTGGAATTTGTAACAGTAATATATACCGCAATAGTATTTTTTCATTTCTGGTTACATAGCAGGTTGTAACTTTTATCTACAAGTATTTGCAATTGTTTGCCATTTTAAACTTGTGTTACAATATGTTCCCTACACAGCAGAAACACGTTTGCTTTTATAAATTTCATCAAATGTTTACTTGAGCATAGCTGTATACGTATTGACAGCAATTAAAATCATTCTCTTTTAAAAGCTATGTAAAATGGTTAGGTTGTATATTCCGTTTGAATATCTTGCATATGTCGAAGCAAGCTCGCATGTCATGATATGTAACATTTTTAAAAAGTAAATGTAGATAAAAAAATATTTTGACACGATATATTGCAAGCAATAACCGTAAGAATTTGGATCGTTTCCACCGAGTGTAGCCCTGGGCAGCAATATCTGTTCTCGGCCAGTCAGCACCGCGTCACATTGGTAGTAGCCACTACTTTCATGAATAACGGAACGCGTCAAGCGACACAGAATAATATTTCAGCTGTGAAGGGAGGGAACACAGCCGAGTGAAGCCGTATCTACGAGCATTTCCTTTTGGCCAATATATTTTCAAAACGCGATCAGATCACCGTTGGCTCTTTGGTCTGTTGCTGCAGTTTTTATCAAAGGAGTTGGACGGACAAGTGCCATAATAAAAACATGTTGGCGTAGATAACAATTTTAGCTCGTTTTACATACATATTATATGTAAAAAAAAACGCGTATTGTTCCCATGGCACGACAGAGCTGTTCCAAGTGCCAGCGGACAGGAGCCACGCTGGGATGCCACGGCAAGGGATGCGCCCAGCGCTATCACTTCATCTGTGCCATGGAAGCGGGTGGGTGCTGTTCTTTTTAATTGACGATTGCGTAACGCGTCTGCGACTCTAACCGTGAGTGGCTGCCCTCGTAGTCCAGCCTCCCAGCTGGGCGCCGTGCCCTGCTGCACTTAGCTGCGCCTCGCCACAGAGCCAGCGCGCCGTAAAGCTTTCCACCCCAGGTCCAACCCCATGCATACCAAGATCCATACTGTGTAGTGCGATCGCCACTGATGTCATTACAGAGTCCGTCTTGGCTGTATTTTTGGACACCGTGTGCAAGGTACGGGCAGTACCCAACCTCTGGACATAGTTACAGTTTGAATTAGTATTTATATCAGGTTCATGGTAACCAGCTTGCGTCTTGAGCGGTGAATGTGCTCAATACGAGATGACCCTTGTTCCTTTGTCCAATCCTCGGTACATTTGCAAGTCTGGAGATGCATTACTTGCATAAGCGAGTCTTAGCAGTTTCATATTTAATTAGTTTTTGTATAGCCCTGCTTTGACTCTCCATATGACTTAACATGCAACATGCATAATAAGATATGTGTGTACAAGTGAAAGTAGGACTTTTTGCCCTAATTAATTCTGCTTGTGTTTACAGATTGTTTGCTATGCGAAGATAATTTCCTGATCAAATGTGCCAAACATAAGGTATGGTGGACTCTTCTTTGCAGTGTGTATTTACATGATCGATTTTCATTGTCTGTGAAAACATTTGGTTTTGTATATCAATTGTACAATCGCCTTGTGAGTTACAATCTTTTGGGGAAAATTTTCGATTGAGTTACAACATTAATTTCAAAGATCGTAGTTAAAATTGCCTTCCAATTTTCATGTGAAGCCATGGCATGTTGGGTGTGCGAGATAAACCACTAACAAAAGGTCATGTTTACAATAAATACCAGGTTGCAAAATTGAACATGTTTTAAAGTGTACATTCTGTGTTGTTCACTCGATCATTTTACATTTTGACATGGACAAATTATAGACTGAAAATGTCTTGAGAAAAAAAAATTCCCCCCTTAAATACCACGTTGAGTGCTTCAGAGGATAAAAGCCTACTTCTCAAACCCCCAATGCGGAAGTGAAAACTAGTCTTTGCACTACAGTATCAATTAAATGACGTGCCCATTCTAAAGTGGCAAACCTCAATCGTTTTAATAACGCATAATTAAAAAACGTCCTATGTTGTCAACAATTGTGTTGGCCAACATCAAAGGCTGCACAATGTGTAATATGCCCAACACAGTTAAAACTGTAAATGTAATGACTAAATACATCTGTAAATGATATACACATAATGTCACTATTTATTTTGAGGTCAATTATTTACCCAGGGAAGGCCTCACTCGCTCCACTTGAACACTATTATCAGCATAGTTCCAAACTGAATATGTTTCGCCAATTCCGTGAGCGAGTGGTTCAATGTGGGAGGAAACCCAGAGAACCCAGTGGAAACTCGTGCGTACGAAGACGCAACGACACCCTTGGACAATTGACACATAAGCATGTCCGTGTGTTTATTCTCACGTGGCGTCCTTCGTTTGATATCTCGTTACTTTACACAGCGCAGTGAATATTTCTAAGGTACAGAATCGTATAATTTGATTTCGTGTACTAAGATGCGTATGTCGTCTTAGACTGGTCATTTTATTGTTCATAAAGTATTGTGCTTCCGTGATCAATGCTTAATTTTTCTGTACGTTTTGCATGCTTCTCTCCTATTGGTGGCACTATTCGACCGTCAAGCCTACATACGAAATATTCTAGCGAGCAATCAGTCGAAAATTAGGTTGATGGGCAGGAACAAATGTGACAATATTATATTCAGTTAAACTACTTGAATTTTAAAGGGGTTATTTTTTTATTATACCAGCTACATTTAATTGCATTGGATCGAGTTTTTTATATATATACTGCATTTGTTTGCTAACCAATTGAATGTATTGGCGAGCAATATTTTTCCATTGACTTGTTGTTTTGACAGGGTAGAGGGATGGCTGCTTCTGTGGAAAGCACAGAGAGGAGATAACCACGCTCTCTTATCACCAGAATGGTATGAATAATGAACACCAAACACTGGGCAGTAACACCACACAACCATTACGGGCTTAGCGCCTAAGATATGTGAACTCTTCAATAGGGATGGGTACAGGCAAGCCCGTGTTGAAGGGGGTTATGGGTGGTTCAAATGAACCATAAGAACAGTCGTAAATAAAATTTAAAAAATCCACACTGGCAGACCAATTTGCCGTTAGTGTATGGTGCTTTCATCATGCGCTTTGCACTTAACATAATAAGACGTGGTTGGTGTAAGCGCACTTGCCATCGTAGGAAACTGCCCTTGTCTGGCTCTGAAATATAGGTTGATTTTGAGCCACAGCGCCATCTGCTGTGCAGGACTGACACTGATCAAATCGGTCGAGCGGCTCACGTTGAATGCGGTGATGGTGGTGGTGGTGGGTCTTGAATTGGTGAGTGCAGTGCTTGGTGCGCTGTGAACTCGGCGCGACCTGAGTTTAATTCCCGGCTACGACTAACATCGGTGGCGAGTGATCTCTAAACCGCTCCTGGCCCCCCCCCCCCACCCTGCCCTTCACCTGTCCTTCGTGGTGAAATGTGTTAAACACAACCCGGTCGTGTGGTTGGATTAATCAAGCAGGATCTTGAAAAAGGACTGTAAATGACTCTTGTTTTAGATTAAAACATGTGGGCACTATTAATAGATGTATTATGCATTATTCCAAATTGAATAGTGAAGAGTATATTACATTATGATCACATTAATCTTTTAGGTAAAATGCATAGCATTTTAAACATCACTGCCTAAAATGCATACTTAAGAACATAACACCACCGCATTTCCATTGTTTTGCAGGTTTCGAAGGATTGATGTATCAGTAGAAATTATTTACCATCTCCCCACAACTTCCTGCCCTCTAGCAATTTGCTGCCTGCACAGTTCTCCAGGATTTTAAGAAAGGAAAAAAATAAAAAGGCCTGGTGGAATTGCTGTTCATTCACAGCTGTTTTTATTTCAAATCACCCACGTGATGTCCACATGCTGCTACTGGCCACGGACAAGACAGCCTGTAAGAACTCGCTTATACGACTCATTCATAGTCGAGTACATTTAGCACTGACCAGGTGATGGCATTGTATTGTTGTAATATATCGGTCGGCTTGCCAGGATTATGTTACAATTTGAGGCGTTAAAACAAGTGTGCAACACCTTTCTTAAGAGCTGCAGAATTATGTATTCTTTAAACGTCATCTGCATAACGATAGTTAACACCTTCGGTTTTCCCCCTGGCAAGCCAACATTTTCAAATATCAAAAACGGTTAGCAAAAGTTTAAATGCATTTTTGTAGAAAGATCTCCCATTAGAATTTATGTGCATTCTTCTCATTGTAAGACTGTTTTTAATGTTTAAAAATGTGGCCTGAAACACAGGAAAAAGATAATCCTGCAGAATAATTTGATGGATAAAGAGTTAACAGTTTACAAACAAGCAGGGGTTAAATTGTAGGAGGAGTATTGACCATTGTCTTGGTTTTATAAGTGGTGGACCCGTAATGCAGCTTAGTGCAAGTGCCGTATCTAAACTGGGAGCAGCTGCATTTCAATTGGCCTTGTGAAAGAATAAGGAATAAACATGACACAAATTCCCCTTACAGCTGCCACCTTCCCTACAATTTAACCCTTGCCAATGACATAGTGCTCATGCCAGCGTTTACTTTTTGATCATCTAGTCCTTGTAGGTAAGTTAGTGTTCTGAAGCTAAGGGAAGAAGCTGTATACAAAGGGCGGTAAATATGGTTATACTGTATTAGTTTAGTTGGAAACCACGGCAGTGTTGAAGGGGGGGGGTATTCTTGGCATGTCACCGACTGTCGTTTGAACAATAAAATATACACGCAACGTCCCACATGAGAATTCCTTTTCACACATTTTTGGAAGTGCTTTGTGCAAAACATCTCGCAAATTTTGGAACCAAGCTCGTAGCTAAAGAACAACATCAGTTGCCTTGATTCACCTTCCCTTGCAAAAAAAAAGAAACAGTGTTTAAACAAATTGAAAGAGCATCCGCTCTGGAAGCACGCGGTATTGCAGCAGTGTTCTACTGCCTTGTTCTTTTGAGGCGTGCTTCCATTGTCACCGAGAATCTGCCCTGACTGCTTTTGGGCCCCTTTGCACTTAGATGAGAAATGAATTGGTTTCCAATCATATTTTTCTATTTTCACATAGTTTTGTTTAAATTTGCTAGGCGAGGATTTAGTTTAAAAAAAAAAATTACAATTCTACTTCGTTGTGCGCAGTAAAATGTCATATCCCCATTCAGGACCGATGCACAATTTCAGTGGAATCTTACGACGAGAGCATTCGTACCAATTTTTAAAGTGAAAACTTTTGTAGTTACGGAGCATTCTTTAGCTGCTGAAAAGGTTTATTCAGCAATGTAACGTGATTGACAGCTGGCTGGCTTTCTCCCCCGCAAATCAGATGCAACCGCCTTTGTCCCGCCGAGTTATTCATATCATCTACAGCTTCCTACGGTTTCTATGACACGTGTTGCGCCTTCGCTTTAATACACAAGCCAACAACACGGCTGAGCACGTACACGGCAACGGAACTGCATAAAGTCACCAATGTTGAGTTACAAGCTGTTGTCTTGCCATGGTGAACATTCAATGATATTGACAGGACTTGTGTTCAAATGAAATATTACTCTTTAAAATCCCAGCTCTGTTGGTCCATTTTGCGTTTAATTTCCTTTACGAAAGCGACACACATTTTCTGACGTTCCATAGGGTTAGAACTCCACAAACTGTGCATACTTCTATTGTATTTTTGTGCATATTTTTAATGAAAGTGCCCATTTCGTTCATAAATCTGCTGGTGGTTTTCTTTTTTGTGTTGTAAAGTTCAATTTTACGTAAGTGTGGGATTGCGCCACATTGAATGTTACGTGATTGTATTGTTTATGTATTATACAATAAAATGTTATTACTGTTGATTCTCAACGCGTGTGTATACATTCACTGTCGCTCAGTCACCGGCAGACCCGTTTAAAAGTTTTATTTTGGGTGACATTTCTCCTTTGTGAGTGTTTTGTTAATGTCCGTACCATGTGGCTTTACAAAGTCACATGCCGAAGTTGCTGTTATTTGGCAGTGTGTGTGTATGCCCTACGGATGTTTCTCAAAAAGCAACAAATTAAATGCCAAATATTTAAAGTCAATAAGCTTTCTTATCAAATTTACGACCACAAATTAGGTTAAATTCCCATCACCGTTGACTCTCTAACCTCCCCCACCCACCCACTTGGGTTGCCCTTGCATGTTGTCCTTGATTCATTTTTGCAATGAATCTGATGTATACACACGTTGACGATGTCCCTTGCATACAACCCCCTACTGCTTTTTTTACCTTCCAACACTTGACGCTTACTCTTGCCCTCTATAATCAGTGCATGCCTACGCAGTGCTCCATACAGTCTTGCGTTTAAACGCACAAAACAAAAACTGCTTAGTTTTTAACGGGCGAATAATTTATTTTGAACCTGATAAACGTAACGTTGCAGTGTGCCGAAATAAGAAACAGCCGTGTACTGCTGTCTGCTATGATAGCTCAGAACCTATCAACAAATCTATAAAAGTGAGCAAAGAAGCATGGACATATTTCATACTTGGAATTAATTTGAGACAAAGGCACGTGAATTAGAAAACATGCAGGTTATTGGCATCATTTTAACGTGTAACAAGTTGGATTGGGTAAGACGTGTCTCTGATGGCTGGTGGTCAAGGCAAGTGGCAATCGAAGACTAATGTGGCCTAGAAACCACGCAATGGAGAAACCGTGCTCTGCAATCGACCCGTATGCAGGTGTGCTAGAGGTGGATTACACACGGCCGGCTTGGGAGAGGGTTTCATATCGTCGATTTATCGTGGCTGCTGCTGCTGACGATAACACTAACACCATTTTTGTTCCTGGGTACTAAGTGTTATTTTTTTTATTGATTATGCCTAAAAGTATAGAAAATGGCTGATTCCCCACAAACTTTGCTTTTGTGGCCAGGACTTGTATGTGAACGAAAGACACAAATGCACACCGCGTTTTCTCATTGAAAATAGGTAAATTTCAAAACATCACTGTCCTGGCCACAAAAGCAAAGTGTGGGGAGTAATATCCATTTTCTGTACTTTTGAGGCATAAGCAATTCGGAAATAACACTACCCAGGATCATTTTTTTGTTACACTTAATTAATGCTCCTGATAATGTATCCCATTTCGTGCCGTTTCACGGTGCGGGCTCGACATTGGGGCTCGGAACACTGCTCGAAAAGCTTTTTGAGGGCAATTAGCCGCATGCCTGCCTCGCGGAGCCGGGACTGAAGCCGAATTGTCCGTTTCGCCTTCCCCAACCTCTCCTGGGGCGCGGCGTTTTGAGCGGCCATGGCCACGAGTTTCCTTTTTGAGTTTCACGTCACGTCACAATAACAAGGCAAGGTTGTTCGTTGGACTGTGACCAATTTAAAGGGCCAACTGTATTATTACGCTGCGGAAACAGAAAAGGCACTGATAAAAAAAATTGCTTTCGAATCATAGCTGGCCTCGGCCTGCGGTGTGCAGTTCAATTATCTACAGGTTTTGCCCGAAATTGAACTTTACGATGGAGTACTTTTACATTAATGGGGTTGGAGCGGTGGTGTAGTAGTTAGCGCAATGCCCTACGATCCCTGCATCACGTGTTCAATTCCTGGCCACAGCGAACATCTGTGTCGAGTGACATCTGAAATTGTCTTGAGCATCTCCCTTAAGTCTGCACTCACCAGCGTGGTGAAGTATGGTCAAATATCCCCCATAACTAACATCAGTGCAGGGAAACCGTCTGGCAGTGTCTACCAAGAACTGCAAATGTTTACACAATGCATGCCGGGTGGCAACTCATGAGTTTTCGACCACAGCATTGGACATCGTCGTTTTCCAAACGACGGGTACATTTCTTCAGGATGATGAAACATTTGACTTGCTTAATGAAAGACTGGTGTTCCCCAACTAGTTGTGGGTAGATTGCAGTATACGCATAGTCAGCCGTAAGAAGAGCATATGTAGTAAACCTGCGTGCGTAGGACGAGAATTATCTTGCATAAGGAACGCGTTTTGCATGAGAAAACGGAGACATCCGTTCTTTAAGAGTATGATTGCTTTATTAAGTGAAACTGATGGGCCAAGTCAGCCGTGTAAATCGCAGCCCAACCATTAAGACCGCAACAATGCCACTTCAAAGCCACAGCGCCGTGGAGAGATCTGCGGGATGGAACCCGCGGGTGGACGCTGCCACGAGCCGCCACCGTTTCCCGATGCCAATAATTACACTGGTCAACACAAAAAAAAATTCTGGCCTGGACTTTTGCAGCTGTTTTGAACTAATTTCAGGGTGCTGATTCCAAATCTGATCTCCGATTTGCTCTATCACATCATTTTTATGCTATCGGCATACCCCATTTTCATTGATTTTACCCGAAATTAACTCTTGTCACTTATCATTGCAAGTTGTTGCGAGTCAGTGACTGCTTTAGTGTTAAAATATGGTGCTGTATTTTTAGGATAGTGTGTTTATAATATAATTTTATGTAGACATCCACATTTATTTAATATTTTTCTTCTGCAGTTTTTATTGAAAATGCAATATTTGATATCTCAAAAACCTGATGTGATAGACAAAAACTGATGCCAGATTTGGAATCAGCACCCCAAAATTACATTAAAACCGTTGGAATACCTTATGCCAGAAAAAGTGTGTTGACCAGTGTTATTTATCCGCTGCCATTCGCGTGATCTGTATCGGTGTTGGTGGACACTTTGCTCGGTCAGTTCAATATTTACTTACCGTTAAAGTGTACTTGCTTGCTCTAGACCCACCCAATTCTACGCCGTTGTTTCACATGGATGCAGAGGTATTAGGGCAGTGGCTCACACTTTTGTGTGGCGTGACCTCAACCTAGAGGTCGGCAGTTCGATTCTATCTCCCGGCGCGGCACGTTTCACGCACGGGTTGCTTAATCTTCGTTTTGACATTTTGGGCGACCCAGGTAATTCTTGCAAACGAGACGATTGTTTCTCGAGTTATCTCGTTCAGCAAAATCAAATTGAATCTTGCCCTACAGCAAGAAAGGAGCATTTTAATTATTGGGCACACACGTTAAGCCATTAATTTGTTTTCTGGACATCTGTGTAAACGACGGGATATATGTGAAGAAGAGCTTTATAGCTTATCGGGATTCTTCCAGCATTCATATTCTGATTTTCACTTCCCACGCCGTTCCTTCAGCTAATCGGGCTTTTACAGCCTAAATCATGTGAAGAAAAGACAAAGAGCATGGAAACGGGGAATCACAGCCCGCCTCGATGGGCATCGCCCACAACGACGCTGCTATTACCGGCTCGGGCATGAGGAGGCAGCACACGCAGTCTGCCCACGTGGACTCACGCCATGGCGGCCGCCACGTTTGTTTTGCCCACGTGACTCTTTGTTGAAGCCGTCAACAGGACTGCGTCATCCACAGCCGATCGGCCAATGACGGGAAACGATGCCAGACTTGCAGGGAGGGAGGGAGAGATCGCCGATGCAATGGATCAATGCGCACCGGGGTTCGTTTTTAAATGCCCCGTGAAAATGCAGAATGGGCAATAAGTCCCTATACCCCTTCAAGCCGTGAGAGCCGTTATGGTTACCGAGACAATGGTATATGGACTTACCGCCCACCCTGCAGAATCGTAGTTGGACTGTATCTCAAGTTTTGTCAGCCTTTGTAATTCACGTACAGGACTATATTGAAACAATCACGTAAACAAAACTAAATAAATCAGAAATGTCTGCATAATAAAAGTATGTCTTAACACAACCCATCAGCCGGACGGCTTTCTGGGAATGTAAAGTGACTGTGCACGAATTTCGACCCTCGGTGTCTCATCGCAGCCAAGTGCATCGTGTCCACCCATGCGTGCATGTACGAACAAAGAGCCCCCCACACACTTGTTTTTGTTGACAAAACTCTTAAGTTTCTAAGTTGATTGTTGATATTCTGACGACGTGTGTGATCTGAAGTCTTTTCGACCGGAGACGCTCGGTGGCGTTCAGCACTGTGGTCGAGTTTCATCATCAAGTCTTCAACAACACGCGGTCGTCACCTTTGTGAACTCGTCGTCATTGCCACGGCTCACTCGGAGTGTGAAGCCAACTGAGCGAGTTCAATGAGGTGATCCCGGATCCATCCGCCGGTTTGTCAGAGCGCTTGTCTCATAATCTGCGCGAATTCAAATCCTGCTTCGGGCTAAATGTGGCGTGGAATGAGTGCCAGTGGAACTCTCTCTCTTCCACCGCCATTCAAATTGGCTTCGAGCACCCAACAGTTCGAGAAACTCTGCAAGACTCAAATTTCGTTTTTCCTTTTAGCTTTTCCTTGAGTATGTCCTCTCATTTTGAAATGTGCCTTTATTCCATAGGTAGGACCTACTTTCGTTTAATTTAGACCGTAAAGTATTGCGATTGCCACGATTTCGTGGGTGCGAGTTTCTACTAATAAAATACATCGAACGAAAGAGGAAGCGAGCGAGCGAGGCCCCTTCACGAGAATGTGGAATTGACGACACGTGCAGCCGATAAAGCGTTGTCCCGATGTTTCATTTTAGCGGCACGTCGCCGCTTCGCTGGGGGTGTATTTATTTGTCGCAGACATCTGTCGCGACTGTTTTCCGAGTGAATTATAATTCACGCCAGGGGAGAGCACTTATTTGCGTTCAACCTTCCGCGATTCACCGTTTCCAGGTGTCAACGTCGAAGAGAATTTACAACAGAGAGCGCTTTGTTCATTGTACAGCGGCGGTGGATTTTTTTTGGACCGTGAAAAGAAAATGCACGCGGCGGAGAATAATAGAAACGGCCAAGGTCACCCCTCACTGAAGCGCTAACGACGACACTGCCACAGTATTGTCTCGTCTCCTGAGCTGGGC